GAGGTGTTCCACCAACTTTCAGATCCTGGGTTCCTTGTCCGAGGGTTCCTTAACCACTGCCCTCACACTGTTTCAGCGTCTTTAGAGAAACAACGCACGGAACAAACATGATTTCTCGCATGTCCGCGCGGATGTCTTGGGCCGGCGCTGGACCCCCTCCTCCCTGGCGCGCGGGACGAGCCAGGGGCGTCGCTGGAGGCGCCGCCAGGGGGGCCCCACCGCCGATCCAAGACATCCGCGCGGAGCTCCGAAAATTTCAGAAGGCTCATGCGATGTTTTGCTGCTCGAGTCCCGGCTGCAGCGCTACAGGGGAGGTTTCGGACGAAACATAAAAAGATGGTCAAGACATACTTCACACATGCACAGAATACTGAACAAAAATCGTCCCCCGAGTATTTTTGAACTGTTTTCGAATTTTTACGGGACGTGAAAACGACCACAGCCACTGCTTTTCTTCTGTGGCCGCCCTCCAGCCAGCAGAAACAAGGCAGTGGCTGTGGTCGCTCTCGTTAAGCTTGGGCACCAGGGAAATGGCCACAGCCACTGCTTCTTTTCCGGCCGGCTGGAAGGCGGCGCAGACAAGAAGCACTGGCTGTGGTCATTTTCCCGCCCCGCATTTTCCTCCTGTAGAGGGACGCGCCCGACTCTCCCCGGACCGCCGCCCACGCCGGGGCGGCCGCGGCGGCGCCCGGGCACCCCGGGGGCCTGGCCGCCCGGCGCCCGCAGCGCCCGCCTCGCGGCCTGGCTGCGCCTGGCGTGCCCGCCGGTGACGGCGTCCTGCCGCACGGCGGCGGGCGTCGCCGCGCGCCGCGGATCAGAAGGGAAAAAAACGCACAGACACAATTCACCGTCGATTCCCCAGGAACTATGCGAAAAGATGGGAAGTGGGGGGGGAAGACAAAAACCCAGAAAATGTGGGAAAAGATAGGGCATCTTTGTATTTGTGTGTATTTATTTGTGTGTCTTGCAAAGCCCCTTCAACGGAGCGCGCGGGGAGCCGGCAGGGGGTGCGGCAGCGCGGTGCCCCGAGACCTGGGCGCTGCAGTTTCTTTCCGCACCGGGCGCTTTCGCCGGGCTTCGGGCCCCATGGGCCCTCACGGAGCGATGCGGCTCGAGGAAGTGGCGCTGAAGCATGGGGGTCTCGGGCTCAAGTCGTGATTCTTCGCGACGTTGCATCTTTCGCAACGTCGTATGTCAACGTCGTATGTCACGGTTGTGTACTTCCTACACCCGGTCGGGAGCTTCTGCGCAGCGTGTCGCGCCGCCACCTCGCTTCGGCGTCCATTTCCCCGTCGCCAGGCGTCGACGTCCAGAGCCTTTCCCAAGACTCCCGCCCAGTGGAGCCCAGCTGCACGCTGCCCGCTTCTCGGGCGTAGCGTGACGCTGGGGCCGCCGCCGCCGCGACACGCCAAGCAGAAGGTCCTGGCCGTACTTCTGCACCCGCACAGCGCCCAAACAGGGGCGCGCTGCCGCAAGCGAGCAGCTGGTGCGCGAGGGCATGCGGGCGAGCATGCTCTAATGTGCACTTCTCGTTGCTCTCCAGCGCCCAAACAAGTGCGCGCGCTAGCGCGGCTGCGAAAATCGAGTGCCCACGCTGGGAGGTGCAGGGTAGAGGCCAATGCGTTTGCTATATACTTCAGCATGGGACCGCTCCTGCGCGAATGATATGACAAAACACCAGCAGTCGTCCCCGATCGCACCTCATGCCTTCTCGCCCTTCACGCCGTCCGCTGCCTCTCCGTTACTATGGTCCTTGTTTTTTCCCGTTCGCTCACCTCCGCTCCATTATCACCCCCTGGTTTCCTACTCTGCGTCCTCGTCATCCTTCTGTCCCTCTCCTCGTTTTGATTCGGTGTCGCCTCCCATAATCAGTTTGAACGCGCGGAATGGTTACAGGAACAGCGACACGATGCCAAACAGCCACCGTTGTTCAAGACCGACAGCGGTACGATGCCAAACAGCCAACGTTGTTCAAGACCGACAGCGGCCACCGTTGAGCAGGCGCCTCTACGTCTCGAATGGGCAACGTCCGCGGCGGCATCGACAACGAATCTAGTTCTACATGGACAAAGCCTGCACTTGGCCTTTGCTGTCAATTCTTCCGTGCTCACTTCGGCCGTCCAAATGTAAGTCCCCTTGGGCTGCATTGCTTCGGTTCCCCCATGTGGCCAATTCTGGAAACCCTGAACCCCAATCGACTTCAACCTCTTTGAAGGGGCCCTGGGACACACAAGTAAATACACACAAATAACAAGATTCCACATCTTTTCCCATCTTTTCTGGGCTTCTGTCTTCCCCCCTGCTTCCCATATTTTCCTACATTTTCCTGGGAGTGGACGATTAATTGTGTCTGTGCGTTTCTTTCCCTCCTGACTCTTGGAACACTGGCTTTGCCTCCGCCGCCATCCGCCGAGCTTCCGCCGGCTCTCGCCAGGGAGCCGATGCCATCTCTTTCGGTGCCTGTTGGCGGAGCCCGTTCTGGAACGCCGCGCGTGGCCTT